ACATGTGATCAAAGTAAACAGGTGTCATTTAGGCGGTCTCTAAAGGAGGGGTGGGCACCCCTGACCCGCCCCGCGGCCCCGGTCTTCATTCCGCATTCCTTCGGCCCGACCACGGATCAGGGCTGGAGGCCGCGCTGCGGAACCTCCCGCAAGCCTCTCGGAGCCTCAGTTTCCCTGTGCGTGAAAGGGGGAGCTCGGCGGGTGCACGCGGAAGGCGCCCGGTACGCCCTGCCGCCCGAGGCCCGCTCCCCCCGGCCGCCTACCCTCGCAGATCCGCTCCCAAAGGCTCTTGCCCGGCGGCTCCGCAACCTGCCCCGGCGAGATGGGCCGCTCGAAGGACACGTGGGACATTGTGGGCAACGTCCTCCTGCTTACGACGAACGACTCTATAGAGCCCGCCCGCTCCTCACTCTGGCCGGTGCGGCTACCCACATACTGGGGCGCCGCCATGACCTCGGTTTCCACGGCAACCGCGCTCCTCGGCCGGCCGCGACCCGGAAGGAGCCGGACCTCGCGGGGGGCGGGCCAGCGTCGCGAGATCGACTTCCGGGGCACGGCGGAGCGGGCTCTCACGTGGAGGCGAAGTTTGGCCTGCAGGTGAGCGCGGAGGATGCGACCTCGGCGGGGCCGTGCGGGGTCCGGAGGTGGGGCCTGGGGACTCGCGCGACGAACAGAGGGAAAAACGGGTCCCCGCTCCCCGCCAGTCGCTAGCGTGCGCCTGCCCTGGCTACAGGCCGCCGCCTCCAGAAAGTTCTCCAGCTTTGGAGCCGGCCCCGGGCTCCCCTGGGAATCTTTCCCAATGTGCCTGTGCGGAAACTTTGGCGCCGCGAGCCTTCTGGGGACCAGCCTCGCCTCCTGGGTCCCTCGCTTTCTGCTCGTAATCCGGTGGGAGTGGGGTGTTGGTGCCGACGTGCAGAGCACCGGCTCTGAAGTCCTGCGGGTAGGGTTCGAATCCCTGTGTCGTCACTTCCGGGCTTTGGGACCCGGGGCAGGTGAATTAAAGTCTCGAGGCCTCAGTCTGCAAGTGTCCCACGTGGGGTATTCACACCAATCCTCACGAGGCTGCCGCGGGAATTTAAAAGCTTTTGCAGAAATCGTTCGCAGGCGACACTAAGGTTCCTTTCCTCTTCCCTCTTGAAGGAGGGAGTACATTTGAGGTTGCAGGGTTGAAGAGAAGGATCTTCAGTGCTAAAGAGGATGCCTCATTGTTCTGAACGGCCGAGATGGGGAGAGAAGGGCATAAAGTTGACAGCAACCTCCCCTTGGCTTCTTTGTTCTTACCAGTCTCTTGGCCACGACTCCACCCTCTCCAGGTTTGCAACCTTTTCCCTTCTCTTTTGCAAGCCCGTCTTTCTCTGCTCACCCATTTAAATGTCAGTATTCCCTAAGGTTCTGTCTCAGGCCCTTTCTGTTCAGTGCTCAGTTACCATCCGTATATTCTTAAGTATATGTCAGCCCAGCCACCCCTGAGCCTCAGACTCACTGAGCATCTCCACCTGGGCATCTGAAGGCATCTGTTCAAACCAGCATGTCCCCTCTAGCCCTCAAACACCCCCAACCCCCTTCACTTCCTTCGTCCCAGGAATTAGCACCACCATCCTGCAGTTGCCAAAGCTAGAAAACTCTGATCTTCAGAAAGTTTCCTGACACTTGGTAGGCCAGGTTAGACGACCACCATCATCCCGACGTTACCACTGTGCTTGCTTTTATCACTTGTGTCACCTATGTCATTACACCTCTTTTTCTCCCACACCTGCGTGCTTCTCGGTGACAGGTATTTTATTTGCCTGTCTAGCATTCATACCTTCATTCACTGAGTACGTATTTTTGAGCACCTGCTGTGTGCCAGGTACAGAGCTAGGCTCTGGGAGTACAGGCGCACCTCGTTTCATTGGGCCTGGCTTTATTGCACTTCACAGGTGTATTTTTTTTACAGAAGGCAAGACCCTCCACCAGCAAAAAGTTTACTACTTGCTTTATTACCGTGGCCTGGAATCAAACCTGCGCTATTTCTGAGGTCTACTTGTACAGCAGAAAACAAGGCAGGAGTGAATGATGGGTGTTCTCTTTACTCTCCAGATGCTCCTGGAGTGAGTTCTGAATGCACTTGAACTCTGCCTGAGGCCTGGCTCTTTGAAGCTCTTAAGAGTGAGGCAGGTCCAGTGCGGACCCCTGGGGCTGAGGCTGAGGAGAGCTGCAGCGTGGAGCAGCTCCTGACCCTTCCCTTCCACTGTCCAGCCTCCTGCGAGGGGACGTTTGTTTCTAGAGTCGCTGAGTGTCTCTCTGTCATCTCGTCCAGGGTGCAGGAAGAACTGGGCTGGTGACAGATGTAGCCCAGCTGGAAGCCGAAATGTACTTGAGGGCCCCAGCCCCTTCTCACAGGTGCCCTCCTGACATTTTCCACAAAAGACCCCCCAAAAACCCCAGGCATTCTAGGTGGTTACGCATCCTCTCCAATCGTTAAATGTTAGCGACTTATTTGAAACTTTAAAACAGGTTTGCACGCAGGATGTCCTTCTCCCTCTGCCTCTGATTTGGTGCAGTCCGTCTTTGAGGGATGGGGGAGCAGGCCTGGGGAAGCCAACGGCTCTGCAGCAAGAGTGTCAGTCACCATTGGAACCCAGGTGTTTCCGGTCCTAGCTGGGGGTCCTCTCACCATCCCTCGCTTCCGCTCTTATTACTAGTCACATGGGAAAGCAGAGTAAGTCACTTGAGCTGCAGTTGGGGGGAATTAATTTCTAGACACAAGCAGAAGAGCTGTTTGGGTGAACCAAGGTAACGGCTTACGTGTGCCACAGGGCTGACCTCAGGCTTTCTGTCCCTTTCATCTAGTAAAAGTCAAGCTCCTGGTCCGTCTGGCTTGATTGCATTTGTACCCTCAGTGGCTGGCACAGGGCGACTAGGCTTGAGGTCTGAGGAAGGGGGTTAGGAGGAGGAGTCAACATTGTGTAGCCAGCACTCTCCTTGGATTATCTCACTCTGTCCAACAGGCCTTTGAGAAGGAAGTGGTATTATCCCTCATTTGCCAGATGGGGAAATTAAGGCTCAGGGAGGATAGGTGATTGACTCGAGATGAGGGAGCAGTTGGGATTCGAACCTGGGGCCGTCTGAATGTTAACTCCATTCTCCTTTGATCGTATTTGGCTCTGCTGCACAGGAGCCCATTTCCCGTTCCCTAACATTTCAGACCTTCCACACAAGAAACGAGGCTCTTGACGACACCTAGTCGAACTGTACACAGGGTGGCTTGGCGTGGGGGTAACTCATATCATTTCTCTCTTCAGGAATGATCACCAAGACCCACAAAGAAGACTTGGGCCTTGGGCTCCCAGAGAAAAAGAAGAAGAAGAAGGTAGTGGCCAAAGAAGCAGAGACTCAATCCTGGGTTTTAAACAGCGATAATTATTCCACTGAGGTCCGTCCCTCAAGAGCCAGATCCCCTTCAAAGAGTGTGGTCCAAGGGCCTGCGCCCAAGATGTCTTCAGTGAAGAAGAAGAAGAAGAAGAAGAAGAGCCACAGCACTGTCTGCGAGGAGCACCTGGAGTCTGAGGCCAGGGTGCGCGCCAGGCGGACAGAGGCGTCGCCCAGCCCCAGGGGGCAGGCTCTTGGTTCCTCCAGGCTCCTCAGCGGGGAGAAGAAAAAGAAGAAGTCCTTGCGGCCTCTGGCCACGTCCCCTGGTTCGACGGGAAAGACCTCCCCAGACCCCACAGAGGGCGAGGAGGTGACCAAAGTTGGCAAGAAGCCCAAAAAACACAAGAAGGAGAAAAAGGCCCAGGAGGCCGCAGCGGTCTCGGCCCGGGACCCTTGGTTCTGCGAGGCGGGGCCTGAGGCCGGCTCAGTGGGGCAGGACGGCCAGGGCCAGGCAGCCCTGAGGCACAAACGGAAGCAGGGGAGCCCCAGGGAGCACACCGCGAAGACGAAGAAGAAGAAGAAGAAAAAGAAAATTCACCAAGAGGGGGACACCCCCCTGCGCCACCCCGAGCCTTCCCGGTCTGCGGAGGGCAGCCCCAGGAAAGGGGGCGAAAAGAGGCCAGTCAAAGCGGAGGCTTCAGAATACATCCCCCTGGAAGATGGCTCCAGGGCCTCTGCGAAGAAGAAAACGAAGTCCGGGAAAAGGGCAGGGCAGCCGGGGATCCAGGAGCCAGCGCCGAAGAGGAAGAGGAGGAGGAGCCGGGGCGAAGGAGCAGGAAGCCCTTGGGAGGAGGTAGGTTTTCCCTCAGGAGATGACTGCCGTGGGAGAACAGGGGTGGAAGTTCGGGGTGCGTTGGGGGGTGTGTGGCGGGAGGCGGGGTGCACGTGTGCGCACGCATGGGCAGCTCAACCTCGTAGCTGCCAGAAGCTGGATTAAACTGACTTCAGCCAGAAAAGGGATTATTGTCGCATGTAACTGGAGCGGGTAAGAGCTTTCTAGCACTTTCCAAAGGGTGGGCCCGGTGCGAGAGGAGGGGCCTCAGTGACTGCCGACTGAGGGGTGGGTCTCCTCGAGTTGGATCATCGAGAAGGTGTCCGCGTGGCCTGTGCTCCACTCAGCCAGACGCGGTCGGGCAGGGTGGGGAGACCGACGACAGGCCGTTTGGTTCCTGGCTGTCTCCCAGCTTTGCTCTGGTCCCTTCGACTTGATTTCAGTTGGTTTTTCCTCTATTCTGAAACCCTCGGGGCCTAGGAGGAGCCCCAGAGGATTTAGAGCCCAGCCCCCATCAGAATCTAGAATCCTTTCTGCCGTGAGCCCCGTCCCAGGCAGGCAGTCCCCTCTGGTCAACACGTCCTGTGACAGGGACTCAGCCCCCTGCAGCAGCCACTGAGGCGGGAAGTGCAGTCATGTCTTCAGGGTCTGGAAGGGCGGTGTGAGGGAACACGACCATTCAGGGATGCGTGCAATGGGAAGGGCCGAGGGAAGGTGGCCGGCCAAGGGTCCCTTGGGCTGAGGCCAGTGAGGAGTGTGGCCCGTGCCAGCATGGTCTGGGTGGGCCCAGCGAGGACGCCCCGTGAGAGCTGAGACCTGTGAGGGGCCTCAGCCACCTGTGCAGACGGAGCAGCAGCTGCAGAGGCCTCGGGAGGAGCAGAGCCTCGGGCGGTGGTGGCTGGGTAAGCCGGGGCCCGGCGACGGCCACGGAGGCCACGGAATCAGCGAGAGGGGAGCCCCTGGAGGATTTCGGGGAGAGGGCTGACGTGATCTGATTGAGTTTTAGGGTTTTTTTGAGCTATCATTGACCTAACATTTTGTAAGTTTAAGGTGTACAGCTCATTCCAGTTGAGTTTTTAAAGCTCGTGTGAGCTGCTTTCGGAATGGACCAGGTTTGCGGGTGAGGAAGCGGGATTTAAGAGACTGTCATGGTCGTCCAGGCAGGAGGGAAGGTGGGGACCAGGACCCGGGGAGCAGGGGTGGGCAGCGTGGAGGAGAGAATCGGGTGGGTTCGGGGTTGCTGGCAGCCTTTACCGCCACCGCCATCATCAGAGCCGAGCCCAGGGCTCCTGCCAGCACCTCCACCCCTCCCCCATCAGCAGGGCCCTTGGCCTCTCTGCCTGGTGTGTCACCTTAGGAGGTCAGGTGACGTGTGGCAGGAAAGGTCATGCACCCAGCCTGAATCAGGGGACCTGGGTTAGTGTCAGCCCTGCCCCTGAGCTGTGGGGTGACTTCATGATAGTCACCTCACTTCTCTGAGCCCCCGTTTATTCATCCGTCAGATAGGTCCGCGCCACGGCGTTGCGGGGAGGGTAATGGAAGAGGATGCCAGACGCGCTGTACGTGACGGGGGCCGGGGCAGCGCCGCGATCTTGGCCCTGCCGTGGTCTCGCCCCGCGGGGCTGCCGAGCCGAGGCCAGCACGCGCTCGACTCTTCGTGCCTTTGCTGTTTTGTGCAGGAGCCGGACACAGACTTAGAGGTGGTGTTGGAAAAGAAAGGCAACATGGACGAGGCGCACATAGACCAGGTACCGTCCAGGTGCTCATCCCCTCCCTGCGTGTCGCCACCCCCTCCTACCGGCTCACAAGATCCTGGTCTCAGAAGCACCCTGGACTCCAGAGGCCACCGGGCCAGCTTCTGTGCCACGCCTGCAGTGGCAGGGAATGGTGGCCTCTCCCACTTTGTGCTGGGAGACCCCATCACTGCCACGGTGTTGGCTGAGGGGCCATCTGGTCATTCAGAACCCCAGGCTGAGGCTCTCCTCCCTGTAAACCACTGCAGGGGGAGAAGGGAGGAATGTCCCCGAGACCTGCAGGCAGGGCAGGGAGCGTGCTCAGCCGGGCCCACGTGTTGCAGCCCCTGGCCTCAGTTCAGGAGCGTTTAGAAAAGTGGTTGTGTTTCGGGCTGGCATCTGTTTCGGCCAGGTTCACTGGTAAGTGCATCTTTGTCAGAGCTGGACTTCCTGGAATTGGGGTATTGTCACAGTCCTGGACCCTAAGGCCTGGAGAGACAGCTCAGTAACCACACAGGCTTGGCCTTTGACCATTACTAACTGGGTGATCTTGGGCAGTCACTAACCTCACTGACCCTCGTAGGTGAAGACCAAACGAGATCATGTTTGCGAGGCGCCCAGCAGGGGCCCACCTCGTACCTGTGCTTCATAAGTGGCAGCCTCCTGACAGCCTTCCCGTGCTTGGTCAGCAGGTAATAGACAGGGGCGGGGTCTCAGGGACTGAACCAGCCCTGTCAGGCCAATACAGCACCCGAATCGTTGCCAGTTCTGAGTCTGCGGGCTCCCGCAAGGGTCGCAGGTCACAGCAAGGCCCAGCTGCTGTCTGCGTCGGCCCCGCAGATCCTCCCAAGAGATGCTGGCAGCTCGGCCTGGCAGCAGTGTCTCCCCAGAGTGGGCGGGCCATGTGAGCTGAGGTCAGTTTTCTGTGCGGGATGTGCAGCCCGAAATGGGCAGGGCTGTAGGGCCGCGGGGCACACGGTAGGCAGTCTCACCTGGCCAGTGCAGCTTCAGAGCCCGCCGTGCGGGGCTGGGAGGAGCCGACACAGGCAAGCTGGCGCTGTCTGAGGATTGCCCCAGTGGGGGGACCGACAAAGGAACAGTGGTGGCTGTTCCTCCAGCCCTCGCCCCAGCTCTGGACAAGTCCGCCTTTCCCGGTGTGTCCCTCATACCTCCCGAGCTGCCAGCCCACCACCAGCGCCCAGGGCGTGTCCCCGAGCGAGTCTGCATCAGCCCTCTAAGGGGGCGTCTGGGTTTTCTGGTTCCGTTTCACCCGGATGGCCAGAATCCCCACTGATTCTTAGAGTTCGTGGGAGCTCCCTTTCCCGGGATTGGGACTCTGGGCTGGGAGCTCATGGGTGGGGCTGAGACCCCTCTCTCCTTCGGAGGGCCCTCTGCAGCGCCCTCTCCCGGGCGGTGCTCAGCCGCCACGTGCAGGTGTGGGACCAGCCACTTCGCGGCTCTGCCCCTGCCGTCCTCAGTGTGGCTTTTTTAACATTTCTTACATCCCCAGACTTACGTGTTATGATCAGCTAGACTTCAAGTGGTGCTCCATGTTGATTATGATTCTAATTTTAATGCGGTGTTGAGGCGAACCCCACTTTTACCTAGCCCCCCGTCTTGACCCCCCAACACGTCATTTTTTTCTGTACTTTTTTGGAGGTTTTTGGTTTGTAGTTACTATGAGGTTTATGTACATCCATTTATATATGTAGTAGTCTATTTTAAGCCGATTGGCATTTAAGTTCAAACGCATTCTAAAAGCAGTACATTTTTACTCCTCTTTGTTTTCGATGTGTTTTATATCACTTTGTGTATCACCTGACGATTGTAGTTAGTTTGACCACTTTTGTCTTTTAACTTTCATATTAGCTTTTAAATGACTGAGTCACTGTGTATATTATGTATTTGCTTTTAGCAGTGAGATTTTTTTCTTTCCTGTTTTCTCATTTCTCGTTCTGGACGTTTCTGCATAAAGAAGACCCTTTAACATTTCTTGTCAAGCTGGTCTTATAATTGTGAACTTTTGTTTTTGCTTGTCTGGAAAACTCTCCAGTTCTGAATGATAACCTTGCAGGTGTAGAATTGTAGGTTGCAGATTCCTTTCTTTCAGCACTTAAAATATTTCCTACGGGTGGGTCCCTTCTCGCCTGTAAAGTTGCTGCTAGAATTAGCCAGTGGGCTTTTTGGGTTCCCTTTCATGTGACTTCTTGTTTCTTTATTGCTGCCTTCAAAATTGTCTCTTTATCCTCAACTTTTGCCATTTTAGTAATTCTTGTTGTGGGTCTCTTTGGATTCATCTTGTTTGAAACTCTGTGTCTTCTGGACCTGGGTATCTGTTACCTTCCCCCACATTAGGAAAATTTTCAGCCATCATTTTTTCAAACATTTTTCTGCCTCTCTCACTCTCTCCTTTTGGAATCCCTATAATGCGAATGTTAAAGCCCTTGATGTTATCCCAGAGATCTCTTACACTGTCATTTTTTAAAATCCTTTTTCCATTTTGCTGTTATGATTGAGTGTGATTTTCACTGTTGTCTTCTATGTCGCTAATCATTTTTCATTAACTGATCTGCTGTCAGTTCCCTTTAATGTAGTCATGTCAGTTATCGTATTCGTCAGCTCTGATTGATTGGTTCTTTATTTTCTCAGTCTTTGTTGACATGCTCTCTGAGTTCCTCAATTCTACCCTCGAGTTTGTTGAGCATTCTTATGACTGTTTCTTTGAATTCTGTATCAGGCAAATTCTCCATTTCATTTAGAGTTTTTTTCTGGGCTTTTTTCCTGTTCTTCATTTGGGGCATATTTTTCTCTCTCTCCACTTTGCTTGACAGTCTGTTTGTTCCATTGAGTTAGATGAAGCAGCTGTCAGTCCCAAACTTGGAAAAGTGGCCTCTGTATAGACTGCGCTGGATGGTTGTGGCAGGCCGGTTGTGACTGGGTTGGGTGTGCGCAGTGCCAGGTGTGCCACGTAGCCAGAAAGAGTGCGTTCCCGGTGGACCGATGCCTCCTGCAGGTTGCAGCAGAGTAAAGCTGATCTTCCTGCTGTCGCCCTCCAGTCTCTCTGCCCTATCCTTGTCCTGGGTTTTACGTTCAAAGGAAAAGTTCTGTGACTTCGTTTTTTTTTCCTTCCTCCCACTTGCTCAGGTGAGGCGAAAGGCCTTGCAGGAAGAGATTGATCGTGAGTCAGGAAAAACGGAAACGTCTGAAACCAGGAAGTCGACAGTAAGTTTGATGCTAGAGCTCTGCGAGGTGACACTCAGCACCCTGAACCCTTCCCCCCGTCGCCTTGCAGCATGAGGAGCGGAGTGACGGGAGGACAGTCAGCACAGGCCTCAGGCTCCCTCTCGCAGAACTTGTCCTGAGCTAATGTCCTTCCCTGATCCTGCTTTGTGTGACTTCAGGGCCATAGTCTTCTTGGCAGTAGGTTTCTTACCTCTCTCACAGACGCAGGAAGGAAGGGGTGTCTGCATCTTCTCGACCATGGGTGATCTGTGCACAGGTGGTGGGAACTGGGAACCCCAAGTTCCTGGTCTGGCTCAGCCTCCAACTTGTGTGACCCCATCCCTCGCTCTGGGCCTCCAGGCCCTTCCTGCTACAAAACACAGCGCTCTGGGAAGAGATTCCCACCTGCCCTCCTCTGCCTTCTGACACAAACCTCAGGCAAACGGACAGGGGCCGGCTGGTGAGGCGCGGCACAGGTGGTGGGAACTGGGAACCCCAAGTTCCTGGTCTGGCTCAGCCTCCAACTTGTGTGACCCCCTCCCTCGCTCTGGGCCTCCAGGCCCTTCCTGCTACGAAACACAGCGCTCTGGGAAGAGGTTCCCACCTGCCCTCCTCTGCCTTCTGACACAGACCTCAGGCAGATGGACAGGGGCCGGCTGGTGAGGCGCGTTGGTGAGGTAGGGCGTGCCGCGTCCTGGGTGAGGTGTGCCATGCTGCTGGCCGTGCGTCTGGGGAGGAGGAAGGAAGCGGACGGGCGCAGCTCAGCATGTGAAAGGCGGGCTCAGTGTTGGCCGGGCCTGAGCTGCGATGCCAGCAGGACCGCTAATGAGGCCGGTGCAGCGCTGACGCTGCAAGCCTCCGTTTCCCTGTCGGTGAAATGGGAATAACGGCATTCCGCAGAAGGCTCTCGTTAGCATTAAGACTGACAGGCTCCTGAGCCCTGTGCCTGGCACGGAGCGAGCATGCGGTGAGCACGATCCTCCCTGGAGAGGCTGGGGTCGGGGAAAGCAAAGGGCTTTGGAATTAAGGACGACAACTGCCTCTTTTTCTCTTAACACAGGGAACTCGGTTTGGCCAGTGGGATACTGCTGGTTTTGAAAACGAGCAACAGAAACTGAAATTTCTCAAACTTATGGGTGGCTTTAAAAACCCGTCACCTTCACTCAGCGGCCCGCGTGACACGACGGGGAGGCCCAACATGGCGCTCAGCAGGAGGGCGGCCGACTCGCTGCAGCGGAGCCTGCAGCAGGACTACGACCGGGCCGTGGGCTGGAAGTGCAGCAGGCGGGCTGGCCTGGGCTTCGCCGCCGCCCCCAGCAAGACCTTCTACATCGACAGGAACGCTTCCAAGTCCATCAAGTTTGAAGATTAAACTCTGCTGTCTTGTCCCCTCCCCCCGCCACCACCGAGAGCGCCAGAACGGCTTTGATGATTCAGTTCTGCACAGAGCCGTCTGACATTGTCTCGAATTGAACTCCTGCCAAGGTTAAGGACGACCTGGGGTGGGGGCAGCTCCTGTTTCAGGAGCCAAGAGAACATGGGAGCAGTAAAGCTACTGTTTTCCGTGTTATGCCTTCCATCCCCGTTCGAGGATGTCGTGTAGAAACAATAGTCACTGACATTCGTTGCGTTCTTAGTATGTGCCAGACGCATACTACAGTGTTTTTAGGGTATCGATGGACTTAATCTTGTTAATTCTGAAATCGGTGCTGTTATTATCCCCATCTCATGGATGAGGAAAACGAGGTCAGGGATGAATGACACATGCACAGGGTCACCCAGCCCGTAAGTGCCAAGTGTTGTGCTTTCGTACCTCAAGCCCTGCTGCGTCACTAGTCACTGCTCTGAATGTCCCCCTCTCGCGAATGGGGTATCGATGGACTTAATCTTGTTAATTCTGAAATCGGTGCTGTTATTATCCCCATCTCATGGATGAGGAAAACGAGGTCAGGGATGAATGACACATGCACAGGGTCACCCAGCCCGTAAGTGCCAAGTGTTGTGCTTTCGTACCTCAAGCCCTGCTGCGTCACTGGTTGCTGCTCTGAATGTCCCCCTCTCGTGAATGCTCACTGAGGATTAAAAGGTCTTCTGACTGAAGGAACAGAACTCTGTTACATGTCTAACTCAAATAGGAAGTAGAACTAATGAGAAACAGGAAATGGCGAGCTCATTTTCCTTTCCTCTCCTGGAGTGGCCACAGGCACAGCAGCATCTGAATTGCCTCCAGGCAGGTGTGGCTGACCTTCTGCGGCTGGGAAATGTGTTTCTAACCCAGTCTTGCCTTGTCCAGCTGCCTTGCTTCCATCCCCAGTGCCGAGCCTGGATTTACTTGCTTTGCTTTAACTAGAACTTAAACGGGCATTTTAGAATCTTCCACAGGGAACCGCCGGCAGAGTCCCTGGGATGTTCATTAGACGTTTTTCCATCACGAGGAAGAGACTCCCAGGTGACTTCTGCGGTGGAGGCTGAATGCCAGGGGGCACGGATGCATGGGGATGACACGGGAAGTTGCCTCATCAGCCACGGGGACAATGTTCCCGAGCCCGGACTCCACAGCCAGCCTCACAGAGCTCCAGGTACAGTGACCCAAGCGACACGTGACCACCTCTTCAGTCACCTAGCATTTCGCTTCCCAGAATACAGGTTCTGACGCCTGAACGCCTCCCTGTCTGAAGCAAACCTTGATGGCAGGTCAGTCTCTCCGATGGAAGGAGGTCCCAATGTAGGGGACTGGTCCAGCAGCTCACCCGGGGACATTTACCTCTCTGCTCCATCATCCTGAGTGTTGGCTTCATCAGGCTGGTGGAAGGATGGCTCTAGCAATTCCAGATAGCTTATCAAGACACTAGAACATTCCAGAGGGAACATTCAAGGAAATTTCCAGAAGCCTGTCAAGAGACCTGTCATAACTGTTGCTCATTCCTGAACGAGCTCCTGATCTGTGGAGGAAGAGTCTCCTCAGGCCAGTCAGGAAGGGTGAGGCACAGATGCTGGCCACACGAACGTGGGGTCCACTGCCGCCCCAGGGGGCAGAGGTGAGGGAGGCCTGCCTGGGCCCTGACCAGCGAGCAGAGGCCAGGTCAAGAGTCTTACACATCTGCTAGCAGTGACTCGGCTGGGCCCGTTCCCTCAGTGCGTAAGCTCGGCCTTTCCTGGGTTCAGCCTTGAGGTACATAATGCAAGGGAGCCCGCCAGATGCCTAGCAGGTGAGGTTCTGCAGTGGAGTGTGCTCCTTCGGGGCACCTGCCCTTTGATCGGGGACGAATGATGCTCTGGCCTCGATCAGCACAGGACTCTGTTCCGTGTGGAGGGGAACCAGCCGACTGTCCTCTGATCGTCCTCACCTGGCTGAGACTTCGTTCGTTGGTTTGGGCCTGCCTCGGCTTGTCAGGAAGGACCAGGTGATTCTGAAGAGTGGTTGATAGATTGTCCACTCTCTTGTCCCCACAGTGATAGCTCTCATGAGGGTGTGGACATCAGGCCTTTCCTCTCCCATTTAGTATAAGTGGTCTCTATAGTGAGATTTGGCTTTGAACTTGCTGTAGTACCACCGCTGGCTGGAGAGGGCCGCTCGCTCAGGGAAGGTTTATTAAAGTCTGTTCCAGAGGCAGGGTCTAGCCAGAGGAGGTCAGGCAGGCAGGACAGCTATAATGTTCCTAGAAAGGGCTGAAGCTCGCCTCTGCAGACTGCCATCACTCACAGGAGCAGCTCCTGTCCTGCAGTCTGGGGACGACTGACGTCTGAGCCTCGGGTGTTAGCTGAGCTCCTGTCCCTTACACAGTAAACTACATTGGCTTGAGCCACACTTGCCCCTCTTCCTCATGCCCAGGGCCCTCCTTTACCTGTCTGCAAGGGATTTTTGGTGTGATTTCCATGTTCTTTACGCCTGACTGTAACATACAGCCTGTCTCCACTGGAACGAGGCGGTTTGGGGGAGAGGGAGACGGACGGGAGGTCTGGCATCTCGTGCGGCCAGCGTCTTGGTTGAGTATTTCTCCCTCGGGGATTGCTCCCTGATCTTCCTGTGGCCGGGTCCTTCTCTCCTCAAAATTGCCCTTATCTAGCTGTCCCCAGACCTCACATGATTCTTAACCGCTTTATTTTGTGGCGATTCCTGTTTCTCCCTTAGTTCAACAGGCCTCGTCCTAATCCTCGAACTTGTGGATATGTTAGGATGCAAAACAAAATGGAATTAAGATTGCTAATCACCTGCCCTTAAAATAAGACCCTAGGTGATGTGGGTGGGCCCAGTCTAATCGCCGGGGTCCTTCAAGGTAGAAGGAGGACACGAGTGGAGAGTCTAAGAAAGACTCCCAGCTGCTGCTGCCTTTGAAGATGGGAAGGACCACACGCCGAGGAATGCGGGCGGCCGCTGGAACCTGGAAAAGGCAAGGCAAAGATTCTCCCCTGGTGCCTCCAGCCCCGCGACACCTTCATTTTGAAGGTAAGCCCACTGCGACCAGGTGGACTGCTGGCCAGTAGAACTGTACGGTGATAAAAATTGTGTTGTAGTAACTTGTTAAAGCAGTCATAGAAAATACAGGTCTCTTGAAGTTCTCATTTTTACCTTATTTACTAAAATTCTTGGGTTTTTTAATCTGTCATCCTCTGTAATGAGAGTAGACGTCATCTTGGGTAGGCCGTGGTTTTCAGAGACTGGCTAATTGATTTAGTAATAGGTTGGGGGAAACCACACAAGAGCGTAGAAAATCTAAGCCTCTGCCTGGCCAGGCAGCACGTTTCAGAAGCTCCTGACCTGACGTGAAAGTTCAAGTTCAGGGGAACGCAGGAGCATTAAGAACTCAATGACTCACGCTTGAGAACCAACGCTAGCTGATGTGTACAGCCTCACAGTGGAAGAAATGACTTTGTGAATTTGCCAATTTTTTTCATATCAATAGTATATAGTAAAAGTGATATTGGAAGTAATTTGTGAAATAAAGGCCACTTGGGACTGTTTGAGCAGTATCGGCACACGCTCTGCATTTCTGCATTTGTTCGGGGGGTGGGGGGGGCATCCTTCTGTACCTGCCGCTCCGTGATGAGGCTGTTTTCTCAACAGGGTTCCGCGGGTGGACGAGTGTCACTATTCAGTTGGCCAGAAAAGTTATATGGCACATTCTTAGTTCTAAACTAGTCAGTTAAAACATTCGTGTATATAAATTTAAAAATCAGCCACTTTTACTAAGGTTAACTATGTGAACTGTAATCGTGTGTTCCGCAGGGTAGAGATAAAATATTATGTCCCATATATACCTTATAAAAGTAGAGTAGGTTGGGGGCACTTTGAATGTATAACTTGGATGCGTTTTCCTGAACAGAGATTCCAGGCTGGGACTCCATGCCCATCAGTATTACTGTTCTTACTGATTCAAAACAGAATGTCAGGGGATGCTTATCGGTGGTGATGCAAGAGTCAGATTCCAGGTTCCATCAGACTGGTGGTAGAAAAGCAGACAGAATCGCACGCTGTTTAGAATTATGGATGCAAAGCCAAGCAGACAGTGAGCTTAGACACATTCTTTCTTGTGGAGGAAGAAAGTCAGAAGTAATTAAATGAACAGCCATGAACAGACATATTCCTTCAGGTGGTTTATTCTGTTACAGTATACTAAGTCCAATCAAGAGCTGCTTTTTAATAGAAAAAGGAATGAATTCAGCCATCTGCTCTAAGGTGGTTTAGGTAACATTTAATTAGACTTGAGACGGTCAAATTAGAGAAACAGTGGCTTTTTAAAAATGGACTGCTTTTCAGGGTTCTTTTTCCAATTAAAAAAAGACACCTACCAGAAAGATGTTACTTGCATTCTGCTGCTCAGTGAACAAGGCTGGATGTTTATGCTGACAATTCCCACTTTTTCATTGTCAGAATACTCTGGGTAGAGGCCGAAGCTTAAACCAGTTGACTATGTATAAAAATAAAAGGCAGGCCTTTTGGGGCTGGGCCCCAAGGTCAGGTTCTTGTTTGCAGAGGGAGCCTGAGGGCCAGCTCCGTCAGATGACCCATATCTGTTTGTTTGCTTTGCTTCTTGATGTATTCCAGAGTTTTCACCTAGGAGGAAAAAGAATGATCCAGCTCCTTTCTGGTTCGTAATTATCCTTGGAACCCACATCAGCCATACTGAGATCTTTTCTTTTTTTTTTTTTAGCAGAGCACCAGTAAAGTGTTTTGAAGGACAGGAACAGGAAGAAACAAAGTCTTTAAAACTCTTTAAATTATAAATTGCCTTAAAATCATATTTGGATGTGAGCAGGAAGGACTTACCTTTCAATATGTGTGGTTTTTATGCAGAGGGAATAAATCTTCAGTACTAAACTTTGTAGCACAAGGAAGTGACCTGCGGACGTCATAGGCCTGGCCCCTTTCTAGAAGGGGGATTAGGGCTCTTTGATACCCTGGCCGTGAAGCTGCATGGATGCCAGTCGTGCTCTGGCCAGCGGCCTATGTCGCTCACATGACCCCGTGTTCCGGGGCCTTGTCCAGGGGCCCGCGGAGTGACTCACCATGGTCCTTGTGTCCGCACAGCCATGCCTCTGCGCCAGGTGCCACAGGCTGACGGACAGCTGATTGAGTCTGTTGTTGCGCAGGTCCCCGTGGGCCAAGATGCTGTTGAAGAAGGACAGGCCCAGCAAGCTCTGGCGCTTCAGGGCCTGAAACAGAAAAGAGAGGTCACTGTCGGGCCCGGCCCGGGCCCCGGGTTGATGCTGGTGCAGGTTCAGATGCCAGCTGCGTTACGGATCTCCTGGAGGGCAAGGTGCTTACCCTCCCAAGTCCCAGCTTCTCCACCTGTAGGAGAGAAAGGTGAACCCCCTCAGAGGACACGCGGGGATCGCACGAGACGATGCACGTAGAGCCCCAGGTTTTGAAAGCGAAGAAGTAAAACTTACTCTTTGCAGATGGCATGATACTATATATAGAGAATCCTAAAAATTCCACCAAAACACTATTAGAACTCAAATGAATTCAGTAAACTGGCAGAATATAAAATTAATACTCAGAAATGAGTTGCACTTTATACACCAATAATTTGTTGCACTTTATACAACAAATTAGAAAAAAATTAAGAAAACGATCCCATTTAAAATTGCATCAAAAAGAATACCTAGAAGACCCTGAAGAAATCGAAGATACAATTAAATGGAAGTATATATCATGTTCATGGCTAAGAAGCATTAGCATTGTTTTGGGTAGTATGGACTTTTTAACAATCTAGATTCAACTCAGTTCTTATCAAAATCCCAATAGCATTTTTCACAGAATTAAACAAATAATCCTAAAATTTATAGAGCCACAGAAGACTCCCAATCGCCACAGCAATCCTGAGAAGAACAAAGTTGGAGGTATCACGCTGTCAGATATCACACTATACTACAAGGCCATGGTCATCAAAAAAGCATGGTACTGGCATAAAAAGGCACACAGATCAGTGGAACAGAATAGAGCCCAGAGATAAACCCACACCTACGTGATCAGTCTATGACAAAGGAGGCGGCAATATACAGTGGGATAAAGACAGTCTCCTCTATAAATGGTGTTGAGAAAACGGGACAGATACATGCAAAAAAGAAACCAGATTGCTTTCTTCCACCTGAAATAACTGTAAGACCTGAGACATAAAACTCCTAGAAGAAAACAGGCAGTAAACACTCTGACATCAGTCTTAGCAATAAACATTTTTTCTGGATGTCTCCTCGGGCAAAGGAGACAAAAGAATAAACAAACGGGGCTACATCAAAACTAAAAACTTAAGATTTTTGCACAGCCAAGGAGACCATCAACAAAACAAAGACGACCAACTGAACGGGAGAAGATGTTTGCCAAATATATAAGAAACGAATATAACAATACCAAAAATACAAACAAATGTATTAAAAAATGTGCAGAGGACCTAAATATACACTTCTCCAAAGAGGACAGATGGCCGGTAGACATGAAAAATGCTCAACATCGCTAATCAGAGAAATGCAAATTAACAGCACAATACCACACCTGTCAGAATGGCTATCATTAATAAATCACCAAACAACAAGTGTCGGTGATGGTTTGAAGTAAAGGGAACCCTCATATGCTATTGGTGGGGTCGAAAATTGGTGCAGCCACTATGGAAAACAGTGTGGAGGTTCCCCAAAAAATTAAAAATAGAACTACCTTATGACCCAGCAATTCCACTTCTGGGTTAATTTAGCCAAAGAAATCCAAAACACTAAGTCAAGAAAATGTGCCTCTGCGTGCACTGCGGCATTATTTACCAGAGCCAAGACATGGATCAACCTCAGTGAAATGAGTCAGAGACAAATACCATATGATTTCACTTAGAAGTGGAATCTACACAAAAACAAATCTGAAACAAACTCGGAAAACAAACTGACGGTCGCGGAGGGGTGGGGAATGGGCGAAAAGAGTCAGAGATTAAGAAGTACAAATTGCCAGTTATAAAAAGAGTCACGGGATGCGAAGTGTAACAGGTAATATAGTCAACATAACTATGGTGTCAGGTGTGTACTGGACTTAACTGGGGTGATCACTGCACATGGTACGTAAATGTAATCACTGTGTTATACACCTGAAACTAACATTGTAGGTAAACTCTAATTAGAAAATAATTTAAAAATACAAAACGGTCCATTAGTGGGGGAAAAACAATACAATAAACTGCCAAAGAGCAGCTTCGAATGCAGCTGGGTGAGAGACTGACATGCGGGTATCAGTTTCCCGGGGCCACTGGAACAAAACACGTGAACCTGCCCTAAAGTGAGCCTACCTTGGCAGTGGCCTGCACCAGGTGACAGTCACAGAAGCAGCTGACCGTACAGCACAGCATTTCGGTCTGGGAGTGGGGTCATGCTGTTGGGGCCCAGGGGGAGGAGGAGGAACCTACCTGGTGCGGACTCATGACCTGGCTGGCAGCTGACTGCTCTGTGTCCCTTTAATCAGACAGTGCAGTTCCGCCCCGGCCGGGAACCCGGGCAGAGATCACCGTTCAATAGGCCCCAGCGCATTCTGGTTTGAAACGGGCCATGGTCTGACGCCTGGAGACCACGAGGGCCGCATTTTCTGCTGGGATCTAGAGGCCAAGCTACAAGTCCCACTAAAGGGTCTCCCCAAAGAGAGGCCCTTCGGCTGCACTGCGCTGAAGTGGGAGATACTTTAAAAAAGTTAAACAACTGTCTGAGTATTTCTCCATCCCACATCTTCTCAGTAAGCATTTTACCGTAAAAAGCCCAATTCACAAGTGTCTTAAACACATAGCCCATTAAAACCAAAATTGTCGAGCCGGGTCTGAGGGATGAGAAGTGAGCTGGCCAACAGGCGACATGCGAGCCAGGAGCCACGACCACCACACGAGACCCCCAGTCAGACTCTGGCGCCCCTCCTCCCTCCAGAGGCTTCGCAGGGAGCAGAACACTTCATCCCTGTCCTGTGAGAACTGCCATGTCTGGGAGGCGCCCAGGGCCTGGTGTGGGTCGGGCTCCACCTCACCAAGCGGACCACCTCGTAAAGCTCATTCAGACAGACTGGCTCCTTCACAGGGAGCTAGAGGACAGTCTGGAGCAGGGCCGCCATGGGCACCATGACGTGAGGCCCCAGGAGCAGCAGCAGCGGGGTTTGCTGACAGCACGGGGCTTGGCCCCCACGAGGAGAGTGAACGGGCGGGCGCTTCCCCAGCACCAGGCCCCTGCCACGCTGCGTCGCCTGTGCACTTCACATCGCTGTCACTTCAGCGCGGTCCGCTGAAGGTGCGTATACGACGCGTCCGGTGCAGGGCCCTGTACCAATGCAGCCAGAATGCTCTCTGCAAACAGCCGGCTTTGCTGACTTTTCGGAATTGTTTCAGAGTCACTACCACCATCAAAGTCCCTCCCGAGAGAGAGAGAGACAAACATTAAATGAAAATAGTTCCAAACTCTATGGGGCCCTACCCAGCCCCCGGTCATGCATGCTGTCAGAGGCCCCCTCTGATGAGACCCAGCCTGTTCCATCAGAGATGAAGTTTCAAACCATGTGGCAATTTTTCTTGGGCACAACTTAAAACACACAGCACTGCTGTAAACGGTTCCCTGGGCTAGAAGCTGGCACCAAAGCCAGTGGTTTTAAGAAGCGGAGAACAGCGCTAAGAACTGTTCTTGGCAGGGGACAGAGGGGGATCTAGTTAGTGTGACAAGTACAGGATGAAGGCGCAGGACACTCCCTCTCTCCCGTAGGCATGAAGGGCTCTCCTGAAACCACATACCATACACAAAAGCAAAGAGAAGCTGGGTCTTTAACCCTGACGGAGTCTGCATGTGTTTGACAAAGGTTTTTCAGTTTGGGGGTGGGGGGGGCAGGAGTCGCCTCTAATGTGGTTTGATCCCCCCGTGCTTGAAGAGACTGGGAGTCTGATGCTGCCTTTTCCACTGACAGCCAAGTGCCTTCTGTGCATTAAGCTCCCAAGAGCTGGGCAGCCCTGCACCCAGCGGGGTCCCCAGGGTTAATGGGACATATCCACACATCCTGCCTACCTGGAGAAGCGCGGTGGGCACTCAGGGCCCAGGCAGCAGTGGTTCTGCCCTTTGGACTGCCAGACCTAAGGCTGGTCCTTTGGGCAGTGTCCCTGACCTTGGCAGAGGCCACCAGGGAATGGAGTCCAGAAAAAATCCTCCTCTCTCCATCACCTCCCTGAATACCCTGGGGAGAACGGGAACCCGCGGCTACATAAGACTCTTGTGGTTTTTCTGGTGGGGTGGGGAAGGGGTTAAGGGCAACACTGTTTTTAGATAGTCCTGGAAATGAGAATTAAACTTAAAACCCAGTCTGATCTTACTTTGTCTTCAAAGGGTCTGGTGGGCTGGGAGTGTCCAGGAAGGGGAAGGGAAGGGCCAGGCGGCCAGTGGAAACCAAGCAGCCTGAAATCCATCCTGGGTTTGGGAAAGGGAATGGGGTGGGGAAGACAGAGAAAACGGGGCCTGCCAGGATGAGACCAGGAAGCAGCCGTCAGATTGTCAATTGCTAAGTGGGAATAAAATCAAAATGCTCAGAGCTTCACGCGGACGGGAAGAGCAAGACCGGAGTGAACGCCAGGCAGCAGCTGACGCACGGGAGACCGCGGAGGAAAGTCGGGCGCGGCCCTGCCTCCTGTGGCACTGCCAACGCCCCCCACCTTGACCGCACAGGAATCAGTGTAACGCGACGTCTGCACAACCAGCCATCCAGCTGTCACCCACGTCTGCAGCGAAGCTGCCAAAATGGAAGCCATGGTCGGCACATCTAGGGAAGGGGACCGGCAAAGTCACGAGTCTCAACGACGCGGATACACAGCGAAGCTGCCAAAATGGAAGCCATGGTCGGCACGTCTAGGGAACCGGCGAAGTCACGAGTCTCAACGACGGGGATACGCTCTGAGAAATGTGCCGTCAGGCGACTTCATCAGTGTGCAGACGTCACAGGGCTCTCACACCAACCTGGGCGGGGCGGCCCACCGCAGCCCTAGGCCGTGTGGTGGGTGCACCGGTCCCAGGCTGCAAGCCTGCAGCACGTTACGTACTGAATACTGTAGGCGGTTGTGACACAGTGTGAAACGTCCGGACGTGGAAAAGCTACAGTGAAAGCGTGGGGATGGTGCTCTCAGCCCTGCCGCAGACCCAACTGGGGCGCTGCCACGTCATGACCGCCACGCTGTCACTGGGCGACGGGAATCTTAGCTCTGTTAGGCTTAGGGACCAGGGATGCAGCACATGGCCAGGGGACCCGGAGGGGCCCTGGAGGCACACGGGAGCCAAGGCCCCGCAGCACTGGACAGACGGTGTGCATTACTCACATGAAGGTTTCCTTCCAGAATGAACCAGCGCCCAGCCAGCCGGAGCCTTGGCGTTCAGAGCGCGCGGCAGGGGTGGGGCCGGTGAGGGCACCTACCTCGTCCTTGGCCAGCGTCTTCAGATGCTCCAGGACCTGCGCCATCACTGTCTCACACAGCCTGTTGTTTTCAGCCAGAAACTTGGAGTCTCCCCCGTAGAGGCTGTCATTGGAGTCGACTGATGGAGAAGCCAGAGCAGGGAGACGTTAGCAAGGCCATCCGGGCTAGGGAGAGGCAGCCGTGTGCCACGCGGTGTCAGCAGATGGCAGGAAATCGCAGCAGAGCACACGGAAACATTCAATATGTCCCCCCGGGCTTCAGGCTTTGGGAGTCACAGAGAAAACACCTGGCCCCTGGACAGTCAGAGCCAGAGACCAGGGTGTGGAAGTCATGTCCCCTTGACCATGGGTGGAGGCAGACAATGAGAATCATAGTGACCACTGCAGCAGCTGCCAGTACTGAGCACCTCCCAGGGGCCAGGCACCGGGCTAAGTGCTTCCCACGCCTTTCTGCGGGTCCTCAGAACCAGCATGGGGAGAAGACAGTAACATCTCCCTTTGACGAACGGGGAAGCTGAGGCTCAGAGGTGGTCCCAGCAAGGGTCCCAAACCGGGAGGTACCATTCCAAGGCCTGAGCCTGCTACACACTGCACCCAGCTACCTGCCCTGTCACCCCTGCTCAGACTCCTTCAGGTGGACCACAGTTCTCTGCTCATGAACTTGAATACCTGTGACAACATCTCTTGCCAAAAAGTCCCCCACTCTCTGCTTTGGCACCTCCCGTGACAGCCACCTGCAGTATGACCAGCCAGCAAGGACAGCCTGAGTCCGACCCCGTTCCCGTCAGCTGGCCTGCACACAGCGCCACCTGCCCTGGGTAGGGGAGGAGACCGCACAGCGCGCTGGTTCGCGCTCCGTTCTCACTGGCTACACCTGAAGCTGCTTCCGCATCGGCGCACACCGATCTGCTTGGTCTGGAAAAGCTGACCCGGGTCCCTCTGTACGACAGACCAGAATGTCCCTGCTGCGGACTTCTCCGTTGTTTCCCGTCTTTTGGGGGTGAGGGGTGCTGGGTCAGGCTGCTGGGGAGTCCTGGAGTCCGTAACGAACCACAGCCCTGCCTCGCAGAGTCCATTCTTGCCCTCCACCTACCCCTCCTTTGTCACCAGACCATTTCTGGCTGCTTTCATCTCGGCTCCCAGCCCCGAACACCGGCCATGTCGCGGAGGAGCACCAGGCAGCACTCCGAGGCCGGACGCAGCGGACAGCCCGCAGGCCATGCGGCCGAGGGAGAGGGCGGTGGCACTCTGCTGCTTCTGACCTGGCAGAGGCCACTGTCAGGGCCGAGACCTCTGATGACCCCGAGGCCATGCTGGTGCCTCGGGAGGGTGTGGCTGTGCACGTGGCCACAAGCACACAGCGCTAATCCACTTTATGGTTTGGGGGCGTTTTTAATAAACATTTCAGTTTAGATTATCTGTGGGAATGTAATTTACTGTGCTTTTCTTGGCCCAATTTTTTAATTTGAAAAATGTCAAAGCTATAGAAAAGTAGGAAAAATTGAACACTGGGATGCCTTAGTTGATCCCATTTTGCTACCTCTGCGCACGCTCTCACGTGCTCTCTCGACCACACACACGGCCACGCCGTCGGTCAGCGGCTTGCAGACAAATACTGCCCGAGAGTAGGGAGCCCCGTCCGTCTCCGTGCTCCCCAGCGCCGCTGGCGGCAGGCGGTCTCTCATGCAGGTCTCTGCGACTCTCCTGGGAAGAACTGTCCTGGGCCAGCCGTTTGCTTTGCACTCGCTCCTCTGACACCAGGCTGGGCCACGGGGGTCTGTACTGGGATTTTTTCTAAGACAGCTCTGGCCCCTGTGTCGCGACTGCTGTCCACCACGTGGAGGATGGCAGTTATTATAAGAAGCGAAAGAGCTGGATTCAGCCATTCGCCAGCTGATTTTGCAGGATGGCAGACCTGCAGCTGGTAAAGGAATTTCTCTCGTCTCTGCGGAGGACGAGAGAGTTCCACATAAATTCCCGGTCTTACTCGGGCTGGAGTCTACCCTTGTTTTGGAGAACAGGAGGAAGGTCTAAGAGGCCCGTGGCCAGTCCAGCTGCAGGCCTCCTGACCACAGGGGCCAGAGGTGTGTTTGCAACAGGCTGCTCGCGTGTGTGCAGTCAGCATCTACTGGAGGAGGGCCTGCCATGCCCCAGGCTGGGCTAGGTGCTGGGGACCCAGCAGGGAACAAGGCCCACCTGGTCCCTGGGAGGCCAGAGCTCACAGGCCATTAGGAGATGCAGACGTACCAAGCGGTGACCACATTCGCCTGAGCTGAATGTCAGGAGGGGTCAGTACAGCATCCTAAAATCGAGACTTGGGATGGAATTCTAGAATTAGCCAGATCCAGGCCAAGCTCTACAGGTTGCATTCTCCAGAGAAAGGGGTCAGAAGCAGAGAAACTAGTGTCCACCCTGACACTTGGTGGTGACGGAGGGAAGGAGGGACAGAGGGAGGGAGGAAAGGCTGAATTTGAGAATTATAAGGAAGCCGGTCAGGCCAGCGTGCAGAGTGGGCCTGAGCCAGACCCACTGCTCAGGGCGGGAGAAATGAGGTCCCTGGCACATGGCCACCGAAAACAGCCCCCGAGCTCTGCATCGGCCTGGCCCCGGGGTCACAGCCCCGAGTGCTGCAGGGGCCTGGCAGGTGGCACGGAGGAGCGAAGGGGCCGAGTTGTCCTCTTCCCACTAGATGCGCTCCATCCACATGCGAAACAAGCCTGCAGCATGGCGCCGCTCTCCCGCCCACGCCAGACGCTCGCTCCTGCACGAAAACACTGGAGTTCGCTCCAGGTACACCTCAGAACATTCTCTTTCTAAATCTGGACAGAAAGCAGCCTAGGCGCCTTCATAACTGCAAAACGTCCTTGCCCCCCGTTTTCCAGACGTTTCAACCCATGCCATCGCTGTCTAAAGGCTGCCTAGAATAAGACTGGGATGGGGAAATGGAACCCTCCATCCCCCGCAAAGCCCCCCGCGGCCCCAGGACACGCCCCGCTAACACGACTGTCAAGTCACAACTGCGCATCCAAAATAAACACAGCTGGGCCGAGAAGGAAAAGATAACCACCTTTCCGTTTTTATCTCGAAAGGCTAGAAAACTAGACTGCCGCCCATGGAACGCGGGAAAGGGTGAACTGGGGAATCAGAAGGAAGCCGGTCCCCCGAGTCCAGACCTGGCGCTCGGGGCGCGGAGAAGTGACACCCCCCGCGCGTGCCCGTCCTCAGGCTCCTGCAGTCGCCCTGGCCGTGTGGTTTACACAGAGGGACCAGAGAGAGGAGGGCTTGCTCCTCTGACAGAGCCTTCGGTTTACAGGTATCCGGTCCTCAAAAGCGTACGGTTTGGAGCCCTCAACGTGCCCTTCACGAGAGAGGAAATGAGAACGCCAACAAACAGGAAAACGTGTTCAACCTCCTTAGCCATCGGATCAATGCGAAATACACTCAGAACGGCCAGAACGAAGACTGACCAAGCCAAGGGAACAAACGGAGGCTTCACTGGAAAACTGTGACAGTTACCTACCAAAGCTGAACTAAGCAAGTCCTATGAGCCAGCTAGTCCGCCGCCAGGCTACACCTGACAGAAATAAGCACCAGAAATTAATACCCAGGAGTGTTTATAGCAGCACTGCTTACCCATGACAGCCCAGAACTGGAACTGGAAACCTGCGAATATTCATCCACAAAGGAATGGATGGACTTGGGGATATTCACACGGTGGAATACTATACAGCGATGCAAAAGGCTGAACAGCTACATGCAACGGCACAGAAGACTCTTGCCGACGTGATACTGAGTGAAAGAGGCCAGACACCCAAGAGTGTTTGCTAAATGAGTCCGTTTACATAAAAGGCAGAAACTGGCAAGCTAATTCGTAATGCTGGAGGTCAGGAGAGAGGTGTGTCTCTGGGGAGGGAAGCGGTGGCGCCACTTGGAGGGGAGCACGTGGGGGCTTCTGGGGAACGAGTAACGTTCAACGTCTTCAGCTAGGTTGTGCTCCTGGGTGTGCTTCACTTTGTGGTAATTCACTGAGCTTTACAGTTTTTTGTATGTATGTTGTATTTAATTAGAACATTGTCATTTTGTAATCAAAGAGCATAATGTATGCCCCACAGTTCTGGGTATGAGGCCCTGAGCCCCTGAAACCGTGTGGGTCTCCCCCTTGGTGGTGTGTAAAATGGAGACACAGATGCCTCCTCATGGCAGTGCTGTGAGGACTAACGGGGAAAGAAGCCCCTCGAGTCTGGGGCAGTACCTGGCACGCAGTAGGAACGTGGGCCTGGGAGCTGTCATCACCTATATTAACCAGCCTCCCCAAGATACACCTTTACTGTCAGCCTCCAATCTCAGCTAGAGAACTTCTGGGAGCATAATTACCACTGTAGGTTCGTTCTGGAAACTTCCAAATGTACAGACAATTGCTTAAACCCTAAAGCATACAATTACTGGGCACAGCACTTTTAACATAGGGACATTTTCTGGGAACCTAAAATTGTAACTGAGCATCTGACAAGCAGGAGGATGCTTAGGCCTAGTGAGCAGAGGTTTAGAATTGGGACTGTCCCACCTTATACCCAGGACCTGAGAAGGCTGCTCCCAAACTCACAGCAGCGAGTTCAAGATGGCTGGTAGCACTTGGAGGCCCAAGGCCATCTTCCTCCCAAGCACCTGATCTAGGCCATCTCCCTCCTCCCGAGCACCTGACCTAGGGGCTTGCTCAGCCTCAGCATCACTTGGCGTAGCGAGTGAAAACACCCAGACCAGGGTCCTCCTGAGACCGGTGAGGAGCAGGCCTGGGATGCAGCTCACGCACGTGTGCACTTAACCACGGTTCTAGGTCATTCTGCAGCACACCAGAGACGGCACCAATCTCAAAGGGCTTCTCTGAACTCGTCTGACTGTCGAATCTTAGATCTTGGATGCCTCTTTCCGGGAGTGTAATTTAGAAGGGGCAGACGGGGCTCAGGAATCTGGATTCTTAAGAGGTGCTTCAGGCAGTTCTTACACTGGGCAAATTTAGCAAGACCTTGAACTAGAAGCTCACGGTAGGAAAAACACGAAGTGGATAAATAAAGAAAATGGAAACGTTTCCTTCACGAAATTCAAGCGCAGTGCCGTCTGGTGGAAAGGGGCCGCTACCTTTGTCTACGTGGTACAGGTAGGTCTCCTGGCTCATGGCGGACAGGAGGTGCAGCACGCAGGTGTAGATGCGGATCTTATCGTCGCTGTTGTCCTCCCAGGTGTAGTCCTGGATCACGTTGAGAAGCTCTCGAACAAGGAACAGGACCCCGTGTTCAGGGTGATCCTAATGGAGAAGCAAAAAAGATAAATAATCTCAGAAACGAAGCAGGAGGGAAAAAAAAAAAGACAGAAACCCAGGTCCCCACCCTTAGCAGCTGTGGAGAAATTAAAGTGCCAGCGACAATTAAACAACACAGGAAAATGACAAAACACGGTTCATCCCGCTCGTCACCACGCTCGTCTGCGGGGACCAGCTCTGAGAGCCTCCGTTCTGGGGTCCGGGGAATGAGAAAGCAACGTCACCTGTCAGCTTAATGGCCTGTTTCCAAAATTACAGCCCTGTGCTCGTGTGTGTAGCGACAGTAAGTTCCGTTCAACTACGAAAGCAAGATTGCAGGTCTCGTAGCAGAGGACAGCAGAGGCCACCGACTTGGGGTAAGCTCCCCAAATGACCAGTCACCACTGGGGCACCGACTTTAAAAACAGCCTCGCTCGCCAGGGCATTCAACAGCATTAACAGCTAAACCGGGAGAGGAGAAACCCAGACACAGTCACCGAGCTTATACGGTGTTTCTCGGATACGAAACTGAATGGAAGAGAGACACAGGTCTGCGGCTTCCGTGACGTTCCAAGAAGCCACATTCAATTATGTGACTCTCCCGCTCAACACTCTCCAGAGACTTCTCCCACTGAGGACACGTGTCCGTTTCTGCCACCATCACCTCCCTGCCCCGGCCGGTACGCCTTGTCCCTCACGCCAGCCACGCCTTACGGCGCCTGGGACCAGACGGGCCACTTAGGGTCCTGCCAGGATACAGGGGGCACAGTTGAAGGGCTGAACGAGGACAGTTTAATGAAGGGCTGTTCGTGACGATGTGGGCAGGGTGTGGGAACTAGGGGGAAGGTGAGGCGCCCGGGCTGGGCAGCCACCAAGCTCCCTCGGGGCTGCAGATGCACGGGAGTGGGTGGTGGTGTTACTGGGCTGTCGAGACCGGCAGCTGGATGAGGCCACCTGGCAGGGGCCGTGCCCTTGGGTGCAGGACAAAAGCCATTGCCAAAACTGTGGCCTAGCGCGCGTGGGGAGACAAGCACCCGACCTCACCCTCCGCCCCGCTCCAGTCCGCCACTGCTCCCTCTCGCTGGCTCAGTGGGCTGGGAGCCAGGAGAAGGAAGCCCAGGTGAGACCGTCCCTGACCAGCCAGCGCCCCCGATGCCTTCGCCCGTTTCTACCCTGAATCATCCTGTCTTATTTTTCCAGGCAGTTCCCACCGAAGTGATCGCGTTCACTCCTTCAGTGAACTACCCAATAACATCGCTTGGTCTATCTGCGTAGCTGTTTCATCCTAGCCTGTAACCTCGAGCAGGGCAGGTACATTACCTGTCGTGTCTGCCAATAACACACCTCCAGGACTGCCCAGGGAACACTCTGAATGGTGCCCCGTCTCCGATTCCTAGGACAGTGCTGGACACGTGGTAGGCGCTCGGTAAATGTTGAATGGATGACATTTTTGAGTACCTTCTATGTGCCAGGAACTGAGGTAGCTGTAAAAACAAGTAACACTAGCTAACTTTATGGTGGCGATCGTAGCTCCCAGAGCTGTTCTGGGTTCCAGGAGGATACGATTATGACAGCCGCGCCCCCCCACCCCCCGCCACCATGTCACAGATGGGAAATGGGCCACAGAGAGGTTAAGTGGCCCAAGGTCACAATGATGACGCTTGGGGGAACCAGGATTTGAGCCCCGGCAGTCTGGCTCCAGAGCGGACATGCCTGACAGCTCATGCTATATTTACTCTGCCCCCCTGCATGCCTCTGACTGCATGGCGCTGGCCACCTGGGGGAGGCGCACACGCACTCAGCTATTTTGAAAGCAGGCCTGGAGAATGAGGAGTGCTCTAAGCCAGCAAACCCGTGTGTGTAGACACAGCACTAATACTTCCAGCGGGTGAGGATGAGGGTGGAGGGGTGTGAGACGGTTTGCACAGCTGTCATCATCTACAGGAATTGCTGTAATGTCAAGAAGGAGGACACATGACATTCGAAAGTCTGCTGCCTCAAACTACAGGCATCAGGACTGCCCGGGCTGTGGTCTGCCGTCCGTCTGTTTAGAGCCCATCTCACTGCTGCCAACTTACTGCTGCCTCTCTTTGCTGACAGCTGTTTCTAACTAGGCTATTTTGTTCTGCTATGTAGATGTTCAAAAATACATTTTATTTAAGGATCTGCCTTGGAAAAAGACAACAATCTGAATGTTCCAGTAACTTAATTTCAACAAACTGCCGTGACTACTGTGGGAGGCCATTCAACACATCAAAAGGTGGAATACGGGGGGTGAAGAAGTAACGGTTTACAATTAAGCCACTTCTGTGAGCTTTTGCTCATAACCAAAGAGATGAGAGATTATTCCCAACCTTACGAGGAAAAAATTTTCCACATGCTATCCATGCTTCAATGGCTGTGACATTTTTCTTGAATTGTACTTTGATGGCTCAGTGCCAGCAACTGAAGCAAAGCAAACATTTTTAAAAAAAAAAGAAAGAAAGAAAGGCCCCAGATTCAGCTGGCAATCCAAGTGGGAAATGTTCTCCCAAGTGTCTCTGCCAAGGCTCCAAAGCCCCTCCCTGCACACAAATGCCTACGTGGAGGCCCCCAGGGGACTTCTAGGGGGTCTCCTAGAGGGGACGCAGACCTCCCGCCCAGCTGCACAGACAGGCTCTGGCTTCCACCATCTGCAACATCTGCAGGAATTCTATTAACTGTCACGACTTGGGAGCAGAGGTAATACCCCAGAAATGACGACCTTCCCACGAGAGCTAACGCGAGAGGCAGAGAGGACAGCACCGGGCACAGATATCCTGGCTCTAAATTTTGTCTTGGCCACTTGCTAGCTGGTGACCCTGGGCGAGTCCCTTCACCTCTCTGCGCCAGGGTCTGCTTCTGGGAGGGGAGGGGAGGGGAGGGGAGTAAGAGGCGTGTTTGGAGTGAATATCTGCGAACTGCTCGCTGGCTCACTCAAAGAGGCATGTAAGTATTAGCTAATAAATCTTTCAGAAAAGGAGCCAAAACATTGGGGGGAAGCAATGCTGGGAGGAAGTGCAGGAATGAGGGGCACTGCTGCTCACCAGCTGTGCGACCCCCGGCCAGCTGCATGGCCTCCGGCTCGTTGCCTTCAGTGGGCAGGCGCCAGAACCCCACCTCGCGGGGCTGGGGGGAAGGGTTCCTATTTAGCACAGCACAGTCGAAAACCCACATATAACTCCTGACTCCCCCAAAGCTTAGCTACAGTCCCTCAGTACCCACGGGGGTCTGGACCCATGACCCCCCACGGACGTGCACACCTCCGGATGCCTGAGTCCCTTATGTAAGATGGTGCAGAGCCGTCGGTGTGGACAGTCGGCCCCCTGCGACCGCGGACTCAACGGCGGACAAAAAAATACTGCGTTTGATCTGCTGGATCTGCGGATGTAAAACCCGGAGACGCAGAGGGCTGACTTCATGTTTTTGTTTTTTTTAAAACTCTATGTATAAACAGATCCTAGAAGTTCAAACTTGCGTTCCAGGGTCACCTGTAGTAAGAAGTGACAACCGGTAGCTTTTCTGCATCTCGTCATCTTTCGTAAGTCCCAGCCAAAGCAGCAGCACTGATACCAGGAACACGACAATCGGCTGAGACCAGGGGACACTGCCAGGAGGGCCAGGGGGCCGGGGAGGCAACGGAAATGGGTTCCATGGGTCCGGAGGTGCCCAGAGGAACAGGAGAAAGCGCACAAGTCCCCCTGCCGCCCCCCAACGGGGCAGCTGCTCTCCAGCTGTGGCCAGCTGGCCAGGTCGAGGAATATGGCCTCACACGGCTGGACCTGAGTTTTCAAGAGGAACCGAAAAACTGGATTTTTCTGTGATCGACCATGTTTTAAATATGGGTAATTCACTCCAAATGTTTTCCACGAGGTCTGGCCAACGAGCGTGTCTACAGGCTGGACTCCGCCGCTGGCTTCGGTTTGTCACCTGGTCATCATTTTGTCACTCCTGGGACAGAGTGGTTCACAAAGCGCATGCATGACTATCATCACAGTCAAGCCTCACAGCAGCCCCGCCAGGTGGGCATTTTGATGACATTTTAAAAGGTGACAACTGAGGCTCTGAGGAGTTACACCGCCATCCCAAGGCCACAGGGCTACTGAGTCACTGGGTCAGGACTGAACCCAAGATTCTGACTCCGAGGACAAGGCTTTCCATCAGGGCTCCGATGAGTTTTACCATAAAGACCATATGCAGCAGGAAATGGAAATGCATCCCAATTAATCAATGGACAGTAACACCGATCAACTTCCTCCTTAGAAAACCTGATTTCTTTTGTCCCTTCACTTGACAAATAGCTAGATTACCCAAAAAAGAGAAATTGATCATAAAATGCTAAGAAGGAGATTTGAGAACACTGAAGCCAAGCGTCGAGCCGGCCTCCTGCCCATCCCGTCCTCTCCCCAGAAATCCTGGGACCTGAACTGAGGGAGTCGGGAGCTGGGCCACTCCTGGCTCCTCGGCTTCGCTGCGGCGTAGTTCGCACCCCCACCACGCCCATTTAGAACGCACGGTCCGCAGGTTCGCGTGTTCACGGAGTTATGCAGTCATCCCCATGATCGACTTCAGAACATTTTCATCACCCCAGAAAGGAACTCTGTCCCCACAGGTGCTGAGTCACTGTCACAGCCCGAGTCCAGGAGGACGTTTCTCAAACTGTGACCCCAGAACCACCCACCCCTGAATTGATGAGGGAGCTGTCAAAAATGTGATACGGGGGCCGATCCCATCCTGTGGAGCGAGACTCTCTGGGAGAGGACCCCCAGAATCTGCACTTGTTAACAAGTACCCCTGAAGCCTATGCACATCTGACCGTGTCACAGCCTGGCCTATGGGCTCCCCAGAATACTATGCAGAAACTAAAATACACGAGGCCACAACGAAAGAAACCAGTACGACTACGACCCAGTTATCAAAATACTTTTTCAACGTACTTGTTATGCTGTCATCTACTAGTCCTTGGTGACTGGGTTGAAATGACAGACTTCAAGGCGGGCCTCAGAACTCCCCTGCTGTTTAAGGAAGGACGCACATAAACAACCTGAATGTCCTGCACACCTGAAATGTCACAGGAACATGCTGATTTCCACTGGTGACAAGGTCCCAGTTACTGCAGCTGCCACTGTGCCTCAGTGCTTCAAATTCAAAATGGAGCGGAAGGCTACACTTCACTTTACATCTTTGTAAAAACAAAGATGTCATTTTCTTCTTCTCATCTAAATTCATGGCCACCCTGCCAGATCTCCAGGGAGTAGCTGGACCCTAGGTTAGGAACCCCTGCTGGGGTGAGGGTCCTCGTACTGGTCCTGGGAGTGGCCTCCAGCCCAAGCCTGACTGTGCACCGGTTACGTGAGATGAACACCCCAGCACCCTTCCAGAGACGTCCCCTTTGACCTCCGCTACCTTTTCTAGCGCTTACTGTGTGCCAGGGCACTGTCCCGACCACGTGTGCATACTCCCTCACTCGGCTCACAGCAACGCTGAGGTGGAGACACTGTTTATTTTTCCCATTTTGTAGACGAAAAAACTGCAGCCCAGTGATGTCGCATAACTGCCCACGACTGCAGAGTGGGAAGGACAGGGGCTGGGATTCTACCCGAGGCATCTTGGTCCCGATGCCAGAGCCCCCTTAACCACCAAGTGACACCCCCTTGA